TTTTTTTTTTTTTTTTTTTTTTTTTTTTTTTTTTTTTTTTTTTTGTAAAATTACTGGTTATTAAGTAATCCCTCCTTAGGAGTCATCTCAGAAACCTACGTCTTTCTTTTTGTTCTCACACTTGAAATCTTTGTTTGTGATGTGGACAACTACCACCACGGATATTGTTGTTTCTTTTCTGTTCTTTCTCTACTCTCCAGTCAGAAAGTTGCAGTGGAAATAATGTGTCTTTCCAAAAGGTGAACCAGATTTCACCTCCTTAAGTATTTTATTGTGACTTGCTTTTGCCTCATGTTTAGCTGCCACTTCTCAAGGTTCATCCTGTCTCTGCACTCGAACTTGTCCATTGTTCTCACTTCTCTTCATTCTCCATTTCACGCTACTTATTCTGCATAGCGTTTTCATTCTACAATTTCTCTGGGACCTTTCCTTCCTCCTCATTTTCGCTGCTTTAATGCTGCCCTTCCATGTGTCATAACTTCCTGCTGACAGCAATATACAGTGCTGTTTTCTTTCCATTGAAGCATTCACTTTTTTTGCAAAACCCGCTAATGATAATTGCCCATGTAATAAAACTAAATATTTTATATACTTAAAATAACCAAGCAAAAAAAAAAGTGATATTCTAAAATGAAAGGCCTGTTTGAGGTTACCACCTGCCAAGGTGTCATCTCTTGAAAAGTTTGTGCCTTTCTTCCACTCACCTGGAGGCTGTTATTCATACTTGAGCATCCAACCACATATTTTTGGCACACAGACTTCTGGAGAATGGGAGAGTGCACAGTGCCCTGCTGTAGGTGGGTACATGCTGCCCCTTCAACTGGCAGAGTCCAACGATGCAACTGAAAGGCACGGACCCAAGCTGTGGTGTAGCATTGCAGACCGTCACTTGTCAAACAGTCCCACAGGCTTCCCTGATTGCATGGACTAGTGCATGTTGGGAGAGAAGAAATCAGGGATGTGTTAGCCCTATAGACAGCAGCATTGTTCGCAGTTAGTCTGATGTAAATAGCAAGTCAAGAGCTTGCAGCATTCAAGAATGTACTGTACCTTAATACTCTCTGTAAAGGACTAGTGAGTCATAGAACAGTTTGGGTTGAAAAGGACCTTTAGAGGTCATCTTGTCCAACCCCCCTTCTGCAGTGAGCAGAGTCACTAGATAAGGTTGTTCAGAGCCTTGTCCAGCCCGATCTTGAAGGTTTCTAGGGATGGGAATATCTCAAGGGCAGAATAGAGGGGCAGAATCACCTCCCTCAGCCTGCTAGCCATGCTGCTCTTGATGTAGCCCAGAACACAGTTGGCATTTTGGGCTGCAAGCATACATTGCTAAATCATGTTCAGTTTTTCATCCACCACTGACACCCAGTCCTTCTTGGCAGGATATCTACTGATACTAGGGGTTACCCCAACCCAAGTGCAGGACCTTGCACTTAGGCTTGTTGAATTCTCTCATTCCTTGCAGGATGGAGGATGTAGTCTAACCTATCACATAAATGCTACCAAATTCCATCATCCTAAATTTTTGCTATGGCAATTCAATAGATAAACACATACGTTAAAATCTGAAATGAGACAGAACCAAATAGTTTTTCTCCACATTTTATTCAAGCCAAAATCAGAGATGCTTCCTCTTCCTTTTAACTCTGTCTTCTGAAAAGTATTGTTTGTCCATTTCTCCTACTCACTAATGTTTACCAAGAGTCCTCCTGGTTTTAACCAGTGTGGATTGGTGAAAGCATGATGTTATTAGACATGGCAGTTTGTCTGCCTGGCGATACCACCAGAGATGAACCTGTCAGGAGTGCCTCCACCAAAAAGTATTGCTCAAAGGGCTTTTTGTCAGATTACTTGACACTTGCTCATGAACTATGACTAACATTGCCACTTAAAACACACTGTATGTTTATTTTATAAGCCATATGGCCCAAACTAGCCTACTGTTGTATAGGTGTGAAAGACAGTCTGGATAGATTTAATTACTTTGGACTTCTGAGATTTACAGTAAAAAAGTTTCCATGGTAATGTAACTACCGTATTGTGTTTTATATGATTTATCCCTATTTCCCTCTGGTTATTTCTTGATATTTTTTTCATTTTCTTTTGGAAAGCTGTGTTTTCAGGAAAAAACAGCACACCTAAATAATTAGTTCTGCAAAAGAATTGCTGTGCGTATTTTACCTAAAACCAGATGTGAAATATGTGGCTGTTAAAGCTGAGAGATTTCACCTAAGGGTTTTGCTAATGGATCAGTGGAAGCCTGTGAATATACATCTTTCTGCTCTTGTGGGAACTTTGCAGCATAGTTAATAGAATCTGCATTAGTGATCCTCACTAATTAGTTAGACCCTTTTCCCTTTGTAGTCCCTTTACATTTTGTAGCTGTTAAAAATGCTATGTATACAAAATAGTAGGTGAGAACCCTTTCAGATGAATAAAAGATTTAAATATGGCTGGGATATCAGTTGCCCTTTACAAGAGCTCTCACTCAGTGAAGTGCTGACTGTGGTAAGCATGATGCATGGTAAGCAAATGTAACTCTTTGCTGAGCATAGTTTTCTTAAATGATTTTTTGATTCTGTAAACATATTTTATGTAGTTCTGCTGTAGGTTTCTTACAGAAGTAGTAAGCAAATTCATGGGTGACTGTTCTTGGAAAAGTAATGCAGGAATTGTTCTCAGAAGATGCTGCAGCCTGAGTATTTAAAATACAATGCAGGTCTGCCTTTTGTGTGCCCTTAATCTGAAACCGGGTAATGCGTCA